TCTCTCTTCTACCCAGGCAGCTAGAGACAGACTCTCTTCCAGGATTATGTTCTGCTACCTAGACTCGGTCTAGGTCAGAGCTAATACAGAAAAAGCAAGAGAGCCCAGATCACCCAATCCTTACAACCACAGTGGTCCCAGGAGTCTGTGAACCCTGTATTGTTTCAGGCTGAACCCACTATTATTCAAAATAGATGCAGACGGGAACATACGGAGGCTCTGAGGGCCAGTTAGTTCTGTCTGCTGTAGACAGTATCACTGCCACATGCCACATACCTTTGAATCACTCTTCCCCAAGCAGAGTCCCTTCACAGCTTTAATGTTTAATCCATTTTATTTGCTGGGCTCCAAGACTGAGAGATCATCTTGGCTCTCAGGGGAAATAATGGCAGAGGAAAATCCTCAGCTGTGAAACGGTACGTGGACCTCAGAGCACCATGTTCTAGTCTGCATGTCTCCTGAGAGAACCTGTTTAAGAGATCACCCCCTCTGGGGCCTCAAGCTTCCATCAGCCAAAAGTGAAGGGGGTTGGTCACAATGTCTATCTTCCCAGACATCTGAAGGCAGCGAGGCCACCATGGAACCCGTGGGAACTCATATCTGTAGAATCTACCTCCCATGTCAGCTCTACCAGACATGAGAACAGTGGTTCTGGGGGGGGGGGCACAACAAGATTCTTGTATAAACTCCCTGCTTCCAGACTCAGACATCCACAGAACATGGAAAAACTCAGGTGGCTACACAAAACACAGATGCCACTGAGGAGCAGTGAGCTATACTGGGCCATCTTCACCTCCAGGTGCCTTTTATAAAGTGACAAAAGACACCCTGGATGCCACCTCTGAATAAAAGTCTGCTGTAGACAAGGTACAATTAGCAAGCTAGATGGTTATCTATTAAATAGGCCTTTGCTTCCCCATCCCCGACTCCATTATCTGTTATCTGTCACCAGAGCCCCGACACACAAAAAGCTGCCTGAGAGAAGCTAGAACATGAACAAAAGCCTAAGTTGAAGCTCCAATTGATTCTAGACCTTTCTTACAAACACTTCCAAACTCATGGGATCCTGGGATGTCAGGATCAGAAAAGCCAAAACAAAACATCTATTTCGCACGTCACAAATGAAGCCAGCAACTCTACTTGAGAAGCCCTGTTGAGCAACAGACTGAGGCCGTCTGGAATTAGTGATAAACATTGATTAACAATGTCTGCCCTGGCCATGGGTGTGTGGGCACTATAATGACACACACACACATATATCTCCCTCCTTTCGGAATCTACACAGAATCTACACACATTTCACAGGTGAGAACTACAAGGCCCAGTAGAGGTTAAACCTCTCCCCTGAGAAGGCACAATGAGCTTAGGGCAAGAGAGAACCAAAAGTAAGACCTCTCTCCCAGGCTTTCCTCAGTGTGGATCCTCAGCAGACAGCAGGCCTGGGAGGAAGAGGCATGCTCTGGTAAGTCAAGAACCCTTTCCTGATGGCATTGGATTTCAGCTGGGCAAGCTGACAGAGAAGTGATTAGCAGTCTCAGGGATACCAACCCCTCCTTGGAAAAGTAAAGAAACCACTCCAGACCACATTTCCATGGTACTTAACTTGCTGATGGGGTAAAGTTCTGCTACCAGGAAGACTGAAGGGAGGTAAAGTATTGATGTCCAAGTGTCCCAAAACTAAAGTTCAGCTCTGTAACAATGAGAAACAAAACAAAACCCTGACACTTGAAAATCATAGTCACTGGCATTCCACAGTCCTACCAATCATAGTCTACCAAACAGATGCCATTACCCAGGGAAGCCATTTCTCACCAGAGATCCTGGCTCAAAAGTGAGGAGGAGCTGCACCCGAATTCCTACTGTGGGATTTGGGGAAAAAAAAAAAAAAGCCCACAAGCATGAAAGAAGAAACCAATCCTAGAATTAAACCAAGATGTCAGGCTGGCTAAATAGGGAGTGGGAATGAGAAGGATCCCCCAGTTAAAACAAAAATGGCCTCGAGGCCAGCCTTCTTTACTGGATCTTGAAACTTTCAGAAAAGCCAGCTGTATGACCAGCTAGACTCTGAGCCCACAATGTGTGCTTTATGAATCCAATGTGCTGCTTGGCGGCTCCAGCAGTACCGGAATGAGACCATCAGGTCAAGGCATTAGAGAGGACTGCTCAAACCAAGGTAAGTAACCTCATAGAAGAGCCACTAAGATATCTCACAGGGATAAAGTTCCAACAGTCGTTTTTTCTAGAGCATGTAGCCCAGGTTGGCCTTGAACTCTTAAGCCTCCTGCTGTCACCTCCTAAGTACTAGAATTATAGATACACACTACCAAGCAGGTTTATGTCATCATGCTGAGGGTTGGACACAGGCAAGCACATTGTCAACCCAGCTACATTCCTGCCCAGTATTTATTTCTATCAGATCGATCACAGACATGCTTGGGGATGACTCTCAACAGTGACAGAGTGACAACTGGTCAGCACCATCCCAACAACTCTGGATGCTGAAGACTGTTCCCTAGCTAGCCACTTGATATGCTCCCTGCAGGCTCCAAGACATGGAGGGGTGGGAGAAGCCAGCCTCTTTCCTGGAGGCCAAATGACATTCAGAAGAGGGGCCCGGAGGGCTCTGCATCTGCGGGAGAACAGAACACAAAGGGGCTGTGTGGAAATTTGGCAGAGCTTTCTTGAAAGGCAGCCTATGAATGTTGAATCCTGCCGCACCTACCCGGGCCCACCCCTGAGAAACAGTTCCCTTCTGTGACCCCCAAAAAGCAAGGATAATCACACAGCAGCCCTCCCATACCTCTTCATCGTTTCTCTCTTCCCTCTAAGCCATTCCAGAGAGGCAGACAAAAAATTGGAACACTGGGAGGTCCAGGTAGTACCTCCAAAAGGCACTCACTCAGTAGCCTCTCTTTCTCTCTAGCTAAGCAGTGGCCTTACTCCATCAAAACCCTCTTGCACAGTGAGTAATTTACCATGAAAGCTAAGGCCAAACTGGCTGTTAACCTTGACCTTCGGGCTACACATCTGGGTCTATAGAAAATGAAAATTAGGATGTCTTTGGCCTCCATGGCAAGTGAAATACGAGGGCTCTCTCCAGGCAGAGGCAGAACGTCAAGAGCTATTTTAGAGCTGTTCACAGCTATTCCACAGAAGAGTCTGCACCTGGCTGGACACGCCCACTCTCAGCCAAGGCTGTGTCCAGCAGAGCATCCCAAGGTAGGAATGCTGCAAGGAACCCTAGGACCCATTGGTCCACTGACAGCATTGCAAAATGTTGGCATCAAATCATACACGTGAAGCAAACAAGGCTCAGAGAAGGAGACCAGACTCATCAACACACAGCAAGTTAACAGATGAGCTGAGAACATGAGCCTAGCCTCCTGCCACTGGTGCCACACAGAGCAGCAACAAGGGAAAGAGATTTCCCATAGGAAAACCCCGCTCAAAGAGTGTAAGGGAGAGAAGTCTAAACCGGCTCTCAGAGTTTGAGCCAGGGACTCAAAAATGGAGTTTTCTTATTTGCCAAACAGACAGATAGATCACCCAGACCTTTGGGACGATTCACAATTACCAGAGTGACAAAGCCAAGTTCAAATTGATCTGCTCTGTAGCAAAGAGTTCTCCATGCTCCAAAATGCCCAGATGGCAGCCTAACACTGGAAGGGAATGGTGGGGATTAAAGAAAGCATCAATCTCAAGAAGTTAGCCTCACCCCACAAGGCCAGCCAGCAGTCAGTCGAGGCTGACCCTGATGCACAACTTCCCATGGGTTCAAGGAAATCCAGTAAGCAACTCTAATATGTCCCACTAGAGGAGATAGCTCAAGCATGTCCATGCTTGCCAGGAGCTGGGATAAAGAAGCTGGGATGGTCAAAGGAAAGTGACAAAGCTTATCTATGCCAGGAGATACTAGCCCACATCCATGCACACACCTGAGTATATGCGCGCGCGCGCGCGCGCGCGCACACACACACACACACACACACTCTCTCTCTCTCTCTCTCTCTTTCTCTCTCACACCTTTGAAGAGGCAGACCATCCCAATTCTGTCTACTATAATCACACCTCATTTGTACAAAGAAGGAAAGCTGGGAGTGTTCTGTCCTCAGGGCACTGGGCACCTGTAGCCCTGTGACATTTGAAGAGCTCTCCATCAGAGCATCTATGTGACTCTGGACTTCCCCCACCCCAAGAATCAAAGGTGAAAAGTTCAAGGATAGGCACTCAGTCCCTACCTGGCCTCCTCTGAGGCAAGGGCTCAGTATTCTCAAGAGAGGCACAGAATCAGCTGGGTGCAGAGTGTGTTGGGGGAGATGGCTTACTGGTTAAGAGCACTGACTGGTCTTCCAGAGGACCCAGGTTAGATTCCCAGCACCCATATGGTGATTCAGGGTCATCTGTAATTCCAGTTTCAGAGGATCCTTTGCCTTCTTCTGGCCTTTAATTAGCACCAGACACTCATACGGTGCACACACATATGTAGGCAAGGCACAGGTATGTATTAAATAAACGAATAAATGAATTAAGACAGAGGCTCCAGGTTGGAGACTTAGAGATGTCCCTGTGTTGATGGCAAACCAGGAAAGGTCTGGTCTGAGTCAAAACATTAAAATTAGCAGGCGAGGGGCAGAGACGTTCTGAAGAACACTAACAGGAACGCCCAATATCTCCATTCCCACCGACAGAAGGAACAATCCTGAGCGGCATGGATATGCAGGTAGGATCCTCCAAGGAGAGCGCTGAAGAGGCCAGGAATAATAGACGGCAATAAGAGGAACGGAGTCAACTAGGAAAAGGGTCCAGGGCTGGAGGCTGTTTTAGGCTGAAGTAGGAGCCTAGGAGCCTGAACACATCTTTTCTCACAGCCTCGATGTTCCCATCACAAAATGGGAAGCTCTGCCTCGGAGCAGACACGCAGTTTGGTGGAGCAAGCAACTGCAATCTGGGAGTGAAGTCGGAGAGACCGTACTCCCCACCCTCGGCCGCGGACCACTTACCTGTACCGCCACGGGGGCCGCTGCCAACCCCGACCCCCCAGGGCTACCGTCGGGCTGCCGCTCGCGGTACAGAGCCCAGAGCCCCACGTTGGGCAGGAGGACCAGGGCCGCCAGAGCCAGCGCCACCGCCTGCAGGAGCCGCTTCTCTTTGCGCCTCATCGGGGCCGGTCCGCCCCGCCGCGCCCCGTCGCGCCCGCCCTGGCTTTGCGCGTCCGCCCGCCAGTCCACCCGGCGGCGGCAGCAGTTCAGCCAGCAGAAGCGGCCGCGGCGCCGGCCCCGCTCCAACTCCGCGGCACTTCCGCTGCTCGCCGGCGGGGGAGCTGGGCGCCTCCACCATGTCACCGCCGCGGGGGTGAGCTCCAACCCCTCCATCCCCCGGAAGCTCATCCTAAATCCTGCACCTCATCTCCCGCCGAGGGATGCACGGTTGGGTCCTAAACGCTTCAATTCTTTAATCCGCCACCTATTTAAAGAGTATCTTAGCCCTCCGGGATGCACGGGGCCCTGGCTATTGTCCTCTGACCCCCACGGGCCGCGATGGTGCGTCCCGCTTCTCCGCCGCTCCCCGCCCGGAGCAGCTTTGCCAAAGTCCCGGAGTTGGGGAGTTGGGCGCTCGCTGAGGCCGCTGGGCGCGCGATCGGCGATGTCCCCGAAGACCCGCGTGGCTCTCCGCAGCCCGCGAAAGCCCCGGAGCTGTGCGGACACATTGATACCTAATGCGCTGGGATGCTGCAGTCTACTCTCTTCCCGGCTCTGCCCCGGGACGTGCAGACCAGACCCGCCTTTGACCTGGAGACTCCGCTCAACCTGTATGCAGAGGGCACCGCGCGCGTCGCTGCTGGGTTTCCTTCCTCCTTTTCTGCAAGCTGTGCAGTGCTTAGTGCCCCGCCACCAGTCTGGGCTTTTTGCAGAACCTACGAGGAGACCAGAGCCTCCTTGCGAGACCCATCTCATGCACATTCAACCGGCTGGACTTGGACTGCCTTCCAGTCCCAAGTATGCTTATGGATGGACACAGTGCCCAGAACCCTTTCTGAAACCTCGTGTCCTTTCTTTTCTTTCTTTTTTCCCATTTAAAACACCAGCGAGCGCCCACGATAGGCCTGGCACTGGGTCAGGAGTGGGGAGTAAGGAAAAGTAGAGCTCGCACTGGTTCCTGGGGTTTGCAGCGCCGAATGCTGGGTGCCCGGGACGAGGCTGTGCATGCCCATGGCGACATGCCCAAAGAAGTCTAGCTTCTGGGCCGCGGACCTAGACTTAGATGAAGCCTGTGGGATCCTCCTCTAGGCGCTTAGTGCCTGTATTTTAACAGCTTGCTCCCTGATGCCCCTGCCCTCTGCCTTGCACTCTGCTAACGTTCCAGCAGGCTCATGCACTCGCTTAAGCCTCTGCTTCTCCAGCGAAGCCATTGAGCCTTGTGGCTACCCAGCGGCTACCCTCCCCTCCCCCAGTATCCTAAATTCTAGCCTTGCAGTTTTTTTCACCTTTAGGCTGAGAAGGGATTTTTCTTACATCACAGCTTGGGTCCCCTCACTACAGAGACCACAGTCCCAGGTTATATATCTCTAAGGCCAATTATCTCCCCTTCTGCCCTGCCCTTTCTTTGGGACTCTTGTCTGTTCCTCGAAGTGCTGTTGACCATACAGATCCTTGCAATGCCCCGCCCCCCACCATCACCAAGGACACCTCTGTGTTTAGGGAAATCACCATCTTCCCCCAAGTCTCTCTAAACACAACCTCCATGTTCATCAGAACATGGCAGACACACCTACATCAGGACCTTTGTCTTATCGCCTATGCCTAGGTGAACCCTCTAACAGTTCTTCTGATTATAGCTCCTACCTTACATCTTCAAAAAAAAAAAAATAGTTATGGCCGGACAGTGGTGCCACAGGCCTTTAATCCCAGCACTCTGGAGGCAGAGGCAGGCAGATCTCTGAGAGTTCAAGGTCAGTCTGATCTACAGAGCGAATTCCAGCACAGGCTCCAAAGCTACATAGAGAAAACCTGTCTTGAAAAACAAAATACAAATTATAGGGGCTAAGAGATGTCTCAGTGGTTAAGAACACTTGTTGCTCTCCCAGAGGACATGGGTTCAGTTCCCAAGAACCAGATTTGGCTCCTGGTACCCACATCAGACAGCTCACAACTGCCTGTCACTCTAGTTCCAGGGCATCTGATGCTCTCTTCCGGCCTGTGTAAGTACCTGCATATGTACATGTAGCATACCATACATATATTTAAACACACATATACTCATAAATAATAAGCCTTTAAAAATAACCTTTCATCTGCTACAATATACATTAATTAATAATTTTACCATTTTTAACCATTAAAACACTTTTATTACATTTTGTGTGAGGTGTGTGTGTGTATATATATATTCTCTTAGAAGAATGAGGGTGCCTTGTAAGATTCCAGAAGTAAATGAGTCTTACATGACCCAGGAAGTTTAGGAAGTTACAGGACATCAAGATTCCATTCCATAGGTTGTAATAAAGCTGGGGAAAGTGGACCCTCAGGGCCCACCATGCTGCCTTTGTGTTGTGCTCCAGGATTCGTGAGCTGTCATCCACACCAGTGTGGGCTTTTCAGTGATGCCCCTGCAAATAGCCCAAATAGCTCACTGTTTCCCTAAGCCAGATTTGGGTGAAATCATTTCTTTGGTATGTTGTCAGTGTCATATCTGTGACAGACATTTGCTGACATCTCCCCTGTAGAAGTCACACATGTGTACCCTACAGTTTGTTTATCCAGTTATCTGTTGATAGACATTTGGGATGTTCCCATCATTTCCCAGCCGTGAGTAATGCTGAGCCCTGTGTCTAGTGCCGCTATGAGTATGCAGCATTGGTGCAGTTAGAGAGCACAGCTTCCCACCCCTGGACATGGCATAGGTAGCAGCAGCTATATTGACCCTGTGGCCCTCCCTTCACTTTAGAATAACCCATGAGAAGGCTGAGGATATGGCTCATTCAACAAAGCACTTGCCTCACAAATGTGAGGACTTGAGATCCAATGCCTAGAACCCAAATAAAAAGCTAGGAGTACCGTAGCTCATGATTATAATCCCAGTGAGAGTGAAATGGGAGGTGGGGACAGGCGGAGCCCTAGAAGCTCTCTGGTCAGCTAATGATAAATAAAAGGGGGAGGGAGCATCAATGGGATGGCACCAAAGTTGCCCTCTGACCTCTACATGCATGTGTGTATGTGTGAGACTCCTTAGTTTAAAGCCTAGATTTTGCCGTTTCTCATCCTCTCCAGTTACTCTGATGCGTTACATATACACACCTGACAGCCGCATCTCGGGGTCTATCCACATAGTTCTGTCAACTTGATATGGCTAACCCCGGTCTGACAGTGGACCCTCAACTGGAGAATTGCTTAGATTAGGGGCTGGGCAAGTCTGTGAGGGATTGTTTCGATTATTAACTGATGTAGGAGGGCTCAGCCTACAGCAGGCAGTCCCTAGGCAGGAGGTCTTGAGTTGTATAAGGAAGCTAGAAGAACAGGAGCCTGAGGGTGAGCAAGCAGCCTTCTCCCGTGATTCTTGCCTTGAGGCCCAACACTGACTCCTTTGACAGACTGTGACCTGGAAGTATAAAGCAAATAATGCCCCACCACCACAGTTGCTTTTGGTCAGAGGGTTTTATCACAGCATCAGAAGGGAAACCAAGATTGGGCCTTCGCAAATTTCTAGAACTCACTTCCTCTCAGTCTATGCTGGGTTTTCTTCTTTCTCTAGGGAACCAGGCCAGAGGTCCTGCCTCTTGAGATGGCTTTCCTAGACTCCACTTCAGAAATCTCCTCATCTTCATTTGCTTTGTTTTTCTAGAGAGCAGGTCTGAGGCTAGCCAGCCCCCCACTCTCTACCCTCCCCCCAACCCTCTACCCCGGCCAAGAACACAAGTCCTGAGCATTTGGAACAGCAACCGTTCCTTGTCTCCTATAAGCACCTCCATCTCGGCCAACACATAACACCTGCCTTTACTGCTAACCAGAAAACCAGGGCCTTTTCCTGCCCTTGTGACAAGTGCCCAAGGACCTCACTCAGTTCTCTGTCCCCTGCATCTTGTGAAGCTGAGAACCCAAGTGGATGTCCTGCCCACTAATTCCTGGCTGGACAAAGCATGCAATTAATGTCACTAGGGAAGAAATGCATTCGGTGTCTCCTCCCCCTCTTCTTCCAGCTCCCTAGAGCATCCCACAGGAAATTGGATTTGAGCTTTCTCACGACTTAGCAAAGTCACTTGTTGATCAAAGCTCACAGCAGCTCAATCTGCCCTCAATGGGGACTGGAATCTGAGAAGCCAGCTTTAATCCGAAGTTTCTTTGATCACTTTCTACCATGTGGGATGGACCTGACAGGAGGAGGGCTCCTGGGACTTTCTCTTACTCACAGAGAAAATGCTGCTTCCTTGGAAACCGTGCTTGTCATGAACTGAAACTCACAGGAGTTCAGACCACGCCATGGCACTAAGTCTGGAGTGGCCATTAAATGAGATAGTGCACACAAAGGGCTTATGGGAGACCCTGTCCAGTGTGAGCACAGTAACTGTGGGTGGAAAGAAAGCTGATCACCAACAGAAACATGGAGGTGATTGAAGCAGGAGTGTCACCTACAGGACAAGTCACACTGCTCTGGCCTGTGCCTTGCTCTCCTCCTCGTCTGGAACATTTATAGGTACCTTCCTCCTGCTCCTCGTTCTCTGGCCCTGCATTTGCTGCTGCTTCTGCCAGCTGTTTGCCAGACCTCTCCAAGTGGCCAGCTGACGCTCATCCTCCAGGTCCCCTCTAGCACATGACCTCTCCATGTTGATCCTTTTGAAAATGCTCTCTCCACTCTATACCGTACAGTAGTTCCATCACAGCACACAGCCCTCAGGCTCATGCACCTGCTTATCTCCTGTCATCATCTGAGGATCTAAACAAAGTGTGGATTAAGAGCCTTAGGGCAGGCATCTTGTCATCCCCCCCCCCCATCCATACCACTGAGAAGTGAGAATCCTGACACTTCAGAAGGGATTAAATCTTGTGTCTGGTGAGGGGCTCATCTCCATCTTCCCATCTTCTTCTTTTTGCATTTCTTTGAGCTGGCTCCTCAGCTTTCTAGCCTGTGATCAGTAACAGGAAGAGCCACTCCATGGGGAGGGTGACAGGGGCAAGCCTTCAGCAGGCAGCTCTGGGTGTCCACACCTTGCCTTCAGAAGCCCTGCTGCAGAACCAGGCTGGTGCAGCCAAACTCGAAGCGGAGGGACATGAAGCCCTTGAGGTGTGCAGGCAAGGTCAGTC